CTATTTGATTTAATAATTTAATAAAATATTATTATTTAAAATTAAATTCATATAAATGCAACTAATATTAATAATTATAATTTAAGCAGTAAATTCATTGACCAATTCTTGTAAATTTTATGCTCAAATTATGTAATTTCTTTGATCAAATCAATATAAATTCAGTATAAATTATGGTCAATCATACAAATGGTGCATTTTTGTGATATGGAATTGTGCATTTTCCTATATCCTTATATATAGTTTAGATACATTATTTTTAAGAAAAAATTGTATAAATCTTATTAAAGCATGATTTTTTATAGGGTCTAATTATAATAAAATTTTATTATTCAGTAACAATTCAATTTATTTATATCAAAGAATTTTTTTAATTATAAATGTTATATTTGGGGGACGAAGTCCCCCAGCAAATCGCATATTCTAGTTATTATAATAAAATCATTCGAAATCTATAATTTCTGATATTCAATTTAAAATTACATTTCACAAAAAAAGCCATGTATTACAAGTCAATTTGTTAGACCAATTTTTCTTATTATTAATCATGGAATTAATTATTCCCAATGCATGTCACATTTTGCCCTATATAAAGTAATTAAATTGTGGTATGTTGCATTTTTAATTTTGTTTTTGTTATGTAAACAAAAAACAGAAGGCTTAAACAAATTTATAGAAATTCTATTCAAAGAAGGTCTATTCTAATAAAATATCGGTAAGTTCTAACTCATCTTGCATTCCTGCCTTTTATTTTGAAGAATAAACAAGTTTTATAGAAGTTTAGGTCAATAAAAAAAATTTTTATGAATCCCGTGACTTTCATATAAATCACGTGCAACAAAATTTTTATTAACGGAGAAAAAAGTTTAAAATTATCTAAACAGATAACATAGTTTCGAAGTGGCAAACATGTTTCCGTTTCTACTCTTTGAAAATCACTAGTTTATTGTGGAATAACACGAAAAAAAGTTTATATTTTATATTTTGTATTTTCATACAATTATTTATTTTAGCTGCATAAAATAGTAAAAGAGCGTAATGAATTACTTCGTAGTGCTTTTATGGTACATATAGGTACAATATTAATGTGAACAGCTAATTTTCTTAGATGAATAATTTCATGATGGCTTAGAAATTAACACAGGAGATATAAAAAAAGTGGGGTCTATTCGTGATTGCTATGGATATTATTTAAGATGGTTGCACAAAGTTTTTTGATAAAATTTTTCATTCGCTAGCTTGTTTTATTTAGCTTGGAGATAAGAATACCGAAAAGCCTGTGTAATATGTCTAGCTTTTAATCGTAGCATTATTTTAATAAATTTGTTGATCGTACTAACCATGAAATTCAATATATGATTAGTTTGATGCCCAAATATAGCTTAAACTTTTCCAGCATTTTTATATTAAGCTTGAAGCTTTATGAAGAAATATTGACTTCATTTTTAATTTAATGAAGCTTATATAAAAAAAATATTTAATAAGTATCTCTTTTTTTTTAAAAAAAAAGAAAAAAAAGGAAAAAAAATCGATTAAGAAAAATATTTTATTAAAATATCTATTCCTTACATAAAAAAAATAAATAAATAAATACTATACCAGCAAAACTCACTTTAATTTGTGTAATTCATTCAATTGTTGAATGAGAAAGTAATAATTCTATTATAAAAAAACCATTGGTATTATGATAAAAGAAGATAATACAACAATGAATTTAAAAATAAATTCTTTTTTTCCAAAAAAGCCATCAGTTCTGAAATGGATTCCCGATTTTACATCTGGTGATGTAGTTAGGTCTACAAGAAAAATTTCTCTCAATGAGGAACCTCCTCATGATGATATTTTGGAGGTAAATTTTAATTTATTATTTATGTAAAAAAAAAAAAATAATACCCAAAGAAAATAATTATTGATTCTTTTTTTAAAAATTAAAAAATAAAAAAAATAAATTAGATAACAGCTAATGCAGGTCATCATTTAACGATTAGTTCAATCTCTGTTTTTCTCATTGGTTACGTTATAAGACAAGTACAAGATGATGATGATTTATTTAATGAAATTGTTGGAAAGGGAAATGTTGCTGACAAATTTAATATAAAATGTAGATACTTAAAAGCAGATGAGAGAATTGATAATAAAGTGAAAAAAATCCATAAACAGATTCTTTTCTTAATATATATTCTACATTATTACAAACAAAAACATAAATACACAACTCACAATAAATAACATATTAACTGAAAAAATATTAAAGGGCGTGCCAACTTGATTCCTGACGCCACCCTAGTTAACGATAATAATTCTTTTAATTGCAAATGAATCCATATCCACATGCAATATATTTTTCAGTTGTAAAAATAATAGTATATGGTTTTGGTTTATAAATTATATAAAAAAGGTAAGTCTGATTGGTAATTCAATTTTCTGATTTTCAATACACATACACGAAAATCAAAATCACCCAATCACACCTTTTTGAAAACAGCTATAATAAGATTGATATAAAAATTCTTTTGAGAATTTTTTTTAATAAGATTTTCAAAAACATTATTACAAAAAAAAAAAAAACTTTATAAACTAAAATTGGAAATTAATCATTTTTCCTTTTCTTTATTCTATTCATCAACTCAAAGCCTATGGAATATAAAGAAGAAAATTCACACGTCGTGCTACAAATATAGCGTCAAATCATTTCCGGAATCCTATCTCATACTATCTGAAATCATATTAGTGCGAAATAAAATTATGCCATATACAAGAATTCCCGAATATGTACTGAAATTGATTGTAATGAAATTCTTCGTCATTTGTGTACAATACTTTCAGTATAATATTGATTATATTAAAATTTTCTTTATAGTTTTTAATTCTCTTCACTATAAAATAAATTGATTATTTTAAATAGTAAAGTACTTTTAGGATTAGTCAAAATTGTAAAACAGCGGAAAATAACAAAAATGAAGGTGATGGCAATAACATTTGAAATAACAAACTTCTATCATATTTTTTTATATGTCCAAATTGAACAACTACTTTTTTACAATTATTTTTGTAATAATTAGTTTTTATGAAGCGCCGGAGGGTTCCTACAAAATAAAAAATAGTTAAAAAATATGGTGGGTTGATGTGCGTTCGGTATATTGAAATATTCACATTTAAAAACGACAAAAATAGGTTATACACATAATTATTTATGATATATTCGGTATGTTCGGTGTAAAATGTTCGACACGGCAATAAACCGGAAAAGAAGTAATAGCAAGATTAAAAAGCGGTAAATAATCATAATCAGCACAGACAATTGAAGTTATCAAAAAATAAATTTGTAATTTATTAGAACAGTTATGAGTGACACAAACAATTATGACTGGTTAATAAAATGATCAGCAGCTTTACAAGTATATAAGGGTTAACCCGTTCAACAAAATTGTCAATCTTCTTTCATTTCTATGAAATTAAAAATTATGGATAATAATAATCTTTTACCAAAATTATTTCAAAATTTACTTGAAATTTTAAATGATGATGAATATTATGATGTTACTATTGAAGTTGGTAATGATCCTTATATAAAGATATTTCGTGCTCATATGGTTATCTTACATTATCGTTCCACGTATCTACGAAGAATGTTGTCAACAAATAAAAAGAATAATGATGGGACTTTGGTTCATATAAAATTACCAAATATTTTACCTGAAATTTTTCAAATAATCTTAAGGTAAAAAGAATTAAATTAAAATTACAAAATTAATATACTGTATAACAGCATATTTAAATTTACGATTTTTTATTTTTTAGATATATTTATAGTGGAAGAATTTCCTTGGAGGAATATGATACTTCGGATATAATTAAAATCTTGATTGCCGGAAGTGAACTTGGACTTCAAGAACTAATCACTTATATACAATCCTTCTTGATTAAAACTAAGGCAAATTGGATGGAACAAAATTTTAATTTGATATATCAAACATGCTTTGAGAACGATTCTTTCTTGGAACTTCAAAATTTTTGTACTAATTTAACCTCCGAAGAGCCAGCTAAGATATTCAAATCTCTAAATTTTGCTTCAATTCCAGAAAAACTTTTGATCACAATTATTCAAAGTGATAATCTTCAAATGGAAGAAATTCAAGTATGGAATCATGTGCTTAAATGGGGACTTGCTCAAAATCTAGAACTTTCTTCGGATCCTGCAAATTTTTCAAAAGAAGATTTTTATACTTTGAAAAATAGTTTACATAATTGTATTCCATTTATTAGATTCTATAATTTAACTTCTGATGAATTTTCAAAAGAAATATTACCTTATAAAAAGGTTTTGCCAAAAGAATTATATAAAGATTTATTGAAATATTTTTTGGATTCTAACAACCAATCAATTAAACAATCAAAACCTCGTATGACTAAGAAAAATAATATTGATTCCAGAATCATTACAACTCAACATGCTGAATTAATCTCGAAATGGATCGATAGATTAAAAATTACGGATGAAATAGAGACTGCGTACAAATTCCAATTGTTATTTCGTGGATCTCGTGATGGATTTACAGCTAAAAAGTTTCATGAAATCTGTGATTATCAGTCTAATACTATAACAATTGTTAAAGTGAAAGATAGTACTGAAATTCTTGGGGGATATAATCCAATTGAATGGAATTCTGATTGTTGTTATCGTGCTACTAAAGATAGTTTTATATTCTCTTTTAGGAATAGCGATGATATTGAAAGTTATATTTTAAGTCGCGTAAAAAATGAACAACGTGCCATATTTAACTCTAGTGGTTTTGGTCCATCTTTTGATTATGGCCTTATTTTAATTAATGACTCTGGTTTATGTGGTAAAAATTATTACGAAAATCAAATCAGAGAAACTGAAGATGGTTTTTATGTGGAAGAATATGAAGTATTTCAAATTCTAAATTAAAATCAATTTTGCAATAGTGGATATTAATTTTTTTTTCTTTTTATTGTTTATTATCGTATCACCATATTATATAAATTGATTGTGATTTCTACTTATCTTTACCAAGCTTAGAATGTTAACTTGTTTACTTTACAAAATCCCTGATCTAGCCAGAAATTTACATTCAAACCAGATCAATTAAGCCATAAATTTTTCTATAAATAATTGTTATAATGTTTTAAACAAAAAAAATATAGTATATTTCTCAAACACATTATAATTCGGTTTAGTATTTCTTTTAATAACTCGTTCAATACAAGATTTCTTTTTATGTTCACGAGAACACTAATATTGTAAATTTCTTAATAAACCGATAAAACTATTTTTTTTCTTTAAAAATAAGAATCAAATGTTATTATAATTGGTAGATAAACAATAAGTTGATCGATATTTGTATTCAATCGCATAAGAATGAGGTCGTAGTGGTCTTCAAACTATTAATCAGTGCATATCTCTAAATTTTGATAAATTTTGATATCGTATACCATTTAAATGAAGTTATGAATAAATGATGTCTTTTACCTTGCTTTCATATTGGTATATAAATTTTCTTATATGTTACAAGTTGGCTATTATTACAGCTATACTAATGCTTACATTCGAAGCCATAACTATATTTATAGGAAGAAATGCTAAGATTTATAAAATTATTTTAAGAGTATATACTATATAGAGACACGTGTAATCTCTTTGAGTTTTTAACTTAGCTTTCTTGATTAAAATTTACGCATCCTAACCGTAAGTGAATTTATCTTATTTTTAGTTTATATTCAGCATATGAAAAATAATAAATTATTACCACAAAATTTACTAATGATAGAGTATTACGATATTACTATTGAAATTGGAAATGATCCTTATGTAAAGTTTTTTCGTGCTCATATGGTTATCTTACAATATCGTTCTACTTATTTACAAAAAATTTTGACAACTAATAAGAGGAAAAATGATGGAACTTTGGTACATATAAAATTACCAAATATTTCACCTGAGGTCAGTAATAATAATAATTAAGAAGAAATGAATTAAATTGAAGTTATATAATAGTATATTTAAATTTACATTTTTATTTTTAGATATATTTATGATGAAAGTATTTCTTTGGATAAACATGATATCATATTAGGAATATAATTGACATTTTGGTTGCTGGAAGTGAACTTGGTCTTCAAGAACTAATCGATTATTTACAATCCTTTTTGATTGAAACTAAGGCAAATTGGATGGAACAAAATTTTATTTTGATATATCAAAAATGCTTTGAAAACGATTCTTTTTTGGAACTTCAAAAATATTGTACTGATATAATATAACCAAAATAAGTTATTCAAATCTTTGAATTCTTCATTAATTTCAGAAAACTTTTGGTCTCGCTCATTCAGAGTGATATTCTTCAAATGGACGAAATTCAAGTATGGAATCATGTGCTTAAATGAGGACTTGCTCAAAATCCAGAACTTCCTTCTGATCCCGCAAATTTTTCAAAGGAAGATTTTGATAATTTAAGAAATAACTTACAAAATTGTATTCCACATATTAGATTCTATAATTTATCTTCTAATGAATTTTCAAACGAAGTATTACCTTATAATAAAATTTTACCTGAAGAATTATATGAAGAACTACTAGAATATTTTTTGTATTCTAACAACCAATCAATTAAACAATCAATACCTCGTATGGCTACTAAGAAAAATAATATTGTTTCCAAAATCATTACAACTCAACATACTGAATTAAATATTAATCTCGAAACCGATAGATTAAAAATTATGGATGTTAGTAATTAATAAAATTAACCTTAGAAAAAAATATTTTAAATTCTAAAAATTTTATACAGTAAAATTTTATCATAAATTACATTTAAAGGTGATTCATTAATAAAATATAAAAACAAACTAGTAATTTGTCTTTGGTTCATTCATTAGCTTGTTTTCAACATTTTCCTTTTCTTTGTTGTATGCGAAGTTAGATACAGTATATAAAACTTTTTATTATTTATTATTATTTGCGTATATCTGGTTAAACTTTTTCTGTCGTATATAAATAATAATATTATAGAATAATCCTAAGAGTAAATCAACTTGGTAATAAAGCTGAATTTCTATCTACTGTACATTATATTTGAACGTTCTTAGTTTTACTCAATTATTTCCTAATCTTTATTGATGAATCATATTTATTCAACGTTTCTTAATATTAAAAATCCTAAAATTTAAATTGACAAAATTTTGATATTTAAATTTTAAATGATTAAAATTTTTTAATTCTAATGAAAATTCAAAGTTTTATCATAAATCTTTGTATGCGAGAAATTTCTCTTGAAGGTTTAAAAATAATCTTGCTCTCAAATTGGCTATGATTAAAATATTTGTTTGTATGTCAACTAATGGAAATTCTAGTCATATATAGAAAGTTTAATTACGAAATAAAAAGAATTTAAGAAGGAAAGCAAGATTGTATCCTGGAGACTGAGATCTTAAAACGCACGAAGAGTGCGAAAATTCAAAGTTTTGATCGATATCGTACCCGAGGAGACTAGCAAGACGTCTCTAGAAATAATAGAAGGATGTGAATTTTTAATGAAATATCGAGTTTACTGGCCAACGAAATTCTGGTTTACTTTAAGCTCGTACAATTATAACTTGATGACAGCGAGTTCAAGTTGGACGAGATTATAGGTCAAAGAAGGAAGGTAGTGAGTCAACATGACAAATCGCATCCAAATCTACACCAGATAAAGTGGGATTCTTCTCAAATAGTAATGATAATAAAGCTATAAGAACAGGAGAGGAAGATGGTTTAGGGTAAAGGATCACGTAAATTGCGTTAGTGACCTGAGTATATAAAGCGCGTGCATAGATTTTATTTTGTAATTTGTGCTCTTCGTTACAATTACGATAAAGCGTTAAATCTAGAAAATGCTGAATATACTGAATGATTTGTTTTTATAAAAACATTCATGAAGAGAAATTATTGTAAAAATCCAGTTAACAACTGGCTAATAATTTTGACAGGCATTAAATATATTGGTATATAAATATAATATTGCTTTGTTAAAATGACTAGCCGGCCGATTAATTGAAAGTCAATAGTCTATAGTTATCTTAAGAATCAAGTGAGTTAGTCAAACCTGTAAAAAAAAAAATATTTTTAGCTTTAAAAAATCTAAAATTATTACACCTTACGTTTGTAAATTTTACGATAAAGAAACATGCAAACAATAATTTTTATCTGTAGTAAGTAATAATGAACCCTTTATTTATAGATAATTTGAAAGCAAGAATCAAATTTAAAGAGCGATCTATTACTATTTGCGACAAAATATTATTGAGAAATATTGAGAAATGTGAGAGATACTATATATACAGTAATAAATCTGATTATCTCCTAACTGCTAAAGTTCTTGTATCATCCATCAAACGAATTCTTCTTTATTCTCCACAGTATTTATCTAAAAATTTAATAATGTATTCAAACAAAAAATTTTAATATTTCTAATCTATCTTGAGCACGTTGAAATCCCTGTTTAGCAGATTTTTCGTACCAGTAAATTGCACTACTTAAATCTCTAACAATTCCATCACCATTTTCATACATAGCAGCAACATTAAACTGAGCTGTACTATCTCCCAAATTTGCCGCTTTGTGATATAATTCAAAAGCTTTAACATAATCTTTACCGACACCATCACCAGATTTATACATAATAGCGAGATTATTTTGAGCCGCACAATTTCCTAAATTTGCCGCTTGTTTATATAATTCAATCGTTTTTTGCTTATTAACGTTAGTTCCAATTCCATTCTTGTAAAAGTAACCAATTTTGAATTTTCCTGATGCATAACCCTTATTAGCTACTTTCTCATAATATTCAAAAGCTAACTTTCCATTTTTTACAGTTCCACGACCAAACTCATAGCATAATCCAACATAATATTGTGTTAATGTGTGATTTTGTTCCGATACACTAATAAATAAATCAAAAGCCTTCTTTTCATCAATTTCTGTTTCAATTCCTAAATAATTAAAATATCCAAGTAAAAATATATAATCTGGATTACTTTGATTGATTAATAACCAATTATAAATTTCTTGTGGATTTATATTATTATTATTAAAATAATTAAGAATATATTTGATCGTTTTTGTATCTTTTCCTTCATTAGCCATTTGAAAAATATATTTTACTATGTCATTAACCGTTTTACCTAATTCTTTCTCAGATATATTTATCTTATCAAAAGTTTGATTAACTTGAGATAATTCTCCATGTAATGAATTATCTATATTTGTAGAAGTATCAATAGTAGTTGTTACGTTTGATTTTTCAATAATTGTTTTTAATCTTTCTACTACTTGGTTTATGGTTGGACGATTAACGGGTTCGCCACTCCAACAATCTATTAAAAACATATATTGTAAATAATATAACTAATTACAGTATTCGTTGAATTATTATTATTTTTTTTTAAAAAAAATGTGTTACGTACCAGTATAAACTTTAATATAATCATCAGGGGTATTGGGAATGGGTTTTTCTCTAAGACCCTGTGAAATTTCTAAAGCCAAATCAATATCATATTGTCCACCTTCAGTATAAAAGGGAGGATGACCACTTGATATCTCCCAGAATAATACGCCAACACTATAGATATCACTTTTTTCATTTAATGAGGATATTTGTGTTGAATTTTTATTCTCTCTTCGTTCACTAAATCCCTTTGGATCAACGTAAGGAATTGTTCCAAGTAAATTTGATTGTGCGTTGGATGATAATTCAATTCTCTTTGATAACCCAAAATCAGATAATTTGATAGTATTCTGACGGACTAATACATTGCTGGAATGCTATTTAAAAAAAATGTACACGTTATGATGTGATGTTAAAAATACGAAAATAATTTTACGATAAATACGTTTATAATTAAAGTAAATTAATACCAAATCACGGTGTACTACTCCTTCATTATGTAAACATGAAACGGCACAAGCTAATTGATACGCCAAGTTACATTTATCATTCCAGGTAAGATTATTGAAATTTTCTTTTAAATAATTTTTAAGAGTACCAGAATCAGCATACTCCATTACTAACAAATAATTATTTGATTGAAAATTTTGATTTTCTAACGATAAATAAAAGGAATTAATAATTTTATTATTAAAATTTTTTGCAAGTCAAATAATAAGAATAACTTTGAAAATTATTATTGAATTTTTTATCATACCTGGGTCAAATTTTGCAATTCCATGGAATTTAATAATATTATTATGAAATTGTATATCACGATGAATCTTAAGCTAGATTATAAAATACAAATTTAAATGATGAATATTAACCGTTGCATTATAAAATAATGAAAGTATTTTAATATACCTCATGAACAACTTCTTTTGCGGTAACATCGTCAAGATTAAAAAAGGATCTCAAGGCTAAATATTTTCCTGAATTTTTCCAATTTGCACGATAAACTTTTCCGAATCTTCCAGTACCAACTTTTTGAATGTTACTAAAATGGGCACGTTCGTAAAATCTATAATATTCCTTAGAAACAGATTCTTCAATCCAGTTAATCCATTCGTTTGTATTTTCAGTGACTTGCATTTTGATATTAGTAATCGTAGAGTAACAATAAAGAGACAAAAGATTCTAAATATTTTATGTGAATTTTTCTTTTTATTCTCATGAAAGTTACGCAAACAAAGCCACATGGCCATCGCAATGGATTATATATTGCGATGATCTGAATAAACCAAGTATAATACATGGTAACTGTGTGGTATATCACATGTTTAACAGCTGTTACTGACTCTGAGAGATTTAAAGAATTAAAGTTAATCCACTAAATTAAACTTTAGTGACGTCATATAATGCACAATTGACTCCTCTTCACTTTAATTAAACTACTAACTAAAGAAGACGTAGTTAACGTTTAACGCAATATCAAATAAATCACCGAAAAATATAATCAATAATTTTTTATAAAACTTGTCGTAGCCAATCTGATAAAAAATATTAATTAATATTGATAATATTCTTTAATCATCAAAAACATAATATTTCTTGTATTTTTATTAATGTGATAATTATGACGAATGAACAATATAAGTTATTATTAAAACATTATAGTATATTTATAATTTTATGATTATTCAATCTATAAATTTATTATATTTATTTGCTTTTGATTAATCACTCAGTTAAATCAGTTACATAAGTCGAATAATAAATAATTAATTATCTTAAATTAAATACATCAAGTAATTTTAATGGTAATAATTTTAATAATTAATATTAATATTACAAAAATAATTAAAATATGCATAATAAATGGAATATAACTTCTTTTATTACATCAATATCTTTATATTTTTGGTTATTATTTTGTAAAAATTATCAAAGGGGATAGATTTATAATAATTAAGCGAAAAGTAAGTGATCGATTAATTTGTTTTTCTAAAGATAATATATAAATCTTTAACTTTCTATACTTATGATTTCAATTATAATACTGGAGTTCGAGACCAAAGTTGTTTATTCTAAAAATAGCAACAAATATGTTAATTATCGGGATTGTATTGATTCGGATCATTTCTTTATTATAATATTAAGTTGATTATAATAATTATTCTAGTGATTTTAATTTATTTAAAATAATTTTAAATAAATACAAACAAACTTGATATTATTAACACCATATTATTTAAATTGATCACAAAATTTGTTACAAACAAAAAAAAAATACATATAAACGACGAATTCTGTCCAGAATCTCGACAAAAAACCACCAAATAAATTTAAATAAAAATTTCTCTTTTAAACCTAACCAAAATGAAATTCAATTCCGCATTCATCTTTTACTTCGTTTTTATTATTATGATGATGACATTTAATTTCTCTCATGCTCAAGAGACAGAGACTCAAAGAAAAGGGTGCAGAATTAGAGTTTATAGACCTAAACAAGGGTCTAATTTTCGATTTTACAGTTGGAATTATGTAGAATATAGTGTTAGTAGTGGTTGCTTTAAAGGTTCGTGTTAAATTCTTTTTTAAAATTTTTATATATAAAATTGGTAATTCCGTTCGTAAATTATAATATGACTATGTTGTTCTTATTCAATATGATTATAGATAAAAGAGACAGGATTGATATCAGTGTTATTAATGCTGATGGTAAAAAAGCTTATAATATCATCAAAAATGGTTATGTAAGTATTCCTCCAATTTATTTTATTCGACATATACATTATTTAATTTGTATAATTATATTATATTAGTTGAAAAATACTTCCAGAAGAATTAGATATTTGATTAATCCAAGTTGGGCGAATGACGGGAGCAAATATTATGTTAAGGTTACTGTGAATAAACGTACGAGTGGAAATTCCGGTTATTTTACAACTCACGAATAAAAATATTCGTAAACTTTCAATTTTATAATATGTAATATTATATAATTTCATTTATAATACTAATAAAAAATAAATAAAATTCGTTATCATTAAATTTTGTTCGTATTAATAAAGTGTGGTATAAGAAATGTATCATATAGTCAATGGTTGTAAGTTCCAAACGATGTAAATCGATAAATATTAGATTTCATCTAGTAGAAAAAATTTGCGTTCTTACGTTTAATTTGCGAAGATTTTTAGGCGATAAAGTTGATTGAAACAAATTTAAATTCTTCTTTTGAAGGCAAACAATGTACTGTAATTTCAAACGTCTCTCCAAAAATTATCAATGAACCTCCCACCGAATACGACTAACTAAAATGCACTAATACGAGTAATAAAAATCTCTCTTAAAAAATTAGCAGAATGAATTAATATACGTGTTCCGTTTTTCAAACTAGAAGTTTATTATGACTGTATTAACTGTAGGTCATGTAACGAAAATTTCCCACATTACAGCGTGCAGAGGACTACAAATTTTAACGTACGATATTTTAAACGGACAACGTTATTCGGATGGTTTCATAGTTTTTGATTTAAATGGCTCATGAGGTTATCTACACTAAAAGAAAAAAACTTTCGTCTGAAAAATTGGAATATGACAACCAGGTCTCTATTCTGGAATATAGAACTAATAAGATATTAAATGTGAGTGATGACTGGCGATTGTTGTTTTTCCTGTAATAATTATGTACTTTCGTTTATAATAAAGTAGCTTATTTTTTGTGACAGGAAACGAAATTAAATGATGAGTTCAAAAAAACCTCAAAAAAGCCAAAAAAATGTATTCGCGAATAAACAAGTTAAGGAAAAAAAAAGGTAAAGTTGTGTATTTTAGTAGACTACATCATCATCATTAGTAAGAAAGCGTAGCAATAACATTATATCATATTGATGAAAATTTCGTAACAGTTTTACAGAAAGTAACGGTATGGAGAAGCTAACATATTTGTTAACTGTTAGGAAGCAAAGAACGACGCTCTTTTTTAATCCATGACCGCGGGTTCTCCATGAAATTGAAACGTTTAACATTGAGATTGGAGAAATAAAGAAGTCCGATATCAAAGATATGATTACGTTCAGTCATTGGTTATGCTCTAAGTATTATCGATTCAAAACTAAAGTGTAATTTGATAGGTAAATTATATACGCCTAAAACAGGTAAGACCTTTTTAATTCGCAACACGATGATGGTAAAGAAAGACAAGGTTACAACTATTATGTGAATTATATCCCTATCTATATTATTCACTAGTTCAATTTTATTACTCTGTTGATAACTGTTACTTTAAGCAATAAAAAATAATACTTGATCTTGTAAAAGAAATTATAGGTTTCCCTGAGGCCGTTACACATAGTGATGCAATCAAAGCTAGTAAAGTGCTTTATGTTTTAAAACGTTTTTAAAACGTTTTTGCCATCCCTACCTGTGACCAATATTTTTCACATAACGCCAGTCTTAATACGGCAACAATATTCTACAAAATACAATACCATGGAATAGCAAACGGGTAAAAGTCGGTAATACCCGCTTTGTATCCGTTTTTATGTTAATGCATATATACCCCCGGGTAATTACTCAAATTTTGCCAGAGCTAAGATGTTAACTCTGGTAAAATTTTATTTCCGGCCAGAATTAAGGTTTAATATTGATTTTATTTTGTATAACTTTCGGCCAGAATTAAGAGGTGTGCTGATGGTCAGTACTGGTGAGCTTTAGCAGCACTTATTTTATTTTTCTTGTTGTGTATATTTATTAGAAAAAAAATTGATTTTTATCAGGGTAATACCTGGATATTACTCGAGTCATATCTGATAAAAAAGTAAACAGGTATAAACGGGTATGGAGTCGGGTAATATTTGTTTGGGTATGATCCGAATCCAGAAATTCTGACGGGTCGCAGCTCTAATTGCTGGTTACATAAAGCTAATCGAGTTTCAGGGCTTAGCATTTTTAATTCAGGATCGAGATCACTCTAATCAATCTATAATACATCGGAAAAAAAATCTCTGTCAGAAAAATGCTAAGCAACGAGATCGTTTATTTCATGGCAACTGCGCACATGTAGTACAAGATTTGCGGTAATATTTTTCCGCAGCAATTAAAAAATTAGGAAAATATGCAAATGTATCTATAATTGCCTTTATGGAAAGGAATCTAATTATGAATTTAGGGTATACCCAATACGACATCTAATTTATTATTTGTGGTTAATTTGTTATCATAAAGGAGTTGTACGAAATTCCCAACAAAACAAATCATGCGACATTAACAGAATTTTAATCGTTAAATTTTTTTTTCAGATTTGTATTTTATTTTCAATTATTTTAAGAATATGATATAATAAAGTCTATGGCATATATAAGAGTTTAAAAAAGGGTGTGGATTTGCGAAATTACCGGTTAAATTTTGACTGGAAAATTATTCCGATAACTTTTTTCAACCACTACAGTTCTTAGGGTTTGATATATCTAATTTTTTAAGAATATTTGATATTAATACTCTCATTTCCAGGAGTTGGTATTGCTTTACTTCTTTCTTTTCTATTTTTATATTGTTTGTATAAAAAGAAACCTCCGACTGTCAATGCAATACCACCAATTACACCTATTGAAATTCCTATAGCTACGCCGATTACATTAATATTAGAATGTGATGATGATTGATTAGGTAGTTGAGAAGTAGGTGATTGAGATTGAGAAGTAAGTGATGGAGGTACAAAAGATGTTGTCCAAACAAATCCATCTTTATTACTGATATCAAGTAATAATATATCATTATCATTTTCTCGCACGTATCCCGTACCTTTAATATCAAATATATTTTAGTAAATTTAAATAATTTATAAAATACTAAAATCTAAATAATTATTATATTTACCAAAAGTTACGACCATATAATTTCCAACCACCAACGCCCTATGAAAAGAACGGCTTGCTGGAATTTTTCCAGAGATTCCCGGAACACTCCATTTAAATTTATTTACATCTAAAACATAAAGTTTTTCGACTAGAGGGATTGCTGAATCCCCTCCAAAAATAATCACACTTTGTCCATCTAATCCTGTTGATTGTAGATTAAATTAAATTAAATATATTGATATATTACGTAATAACCATGATTTAAAATATTTACCAAGAACCGCTGAAAATGCAGCTCTTTCTGTGGGTATATTTCCATCAGTTGTCTAACGTAAGAAAGAAGGTTACACACTATTAAATTAAATTAATAACAAAAAACTAATAAAAACACTACCTTAGTGTCCCATAAATTGTTGATTGTATCAAATAAGTATACCTTAAAATAATATCAAAATCATGAGTTATTACTTTTTAATTTATTTATTTTATTCTATAGTAATTACCTCATTCATTGGTAAAAGGCCACTCGGACCAAACCCGCCTAGATATAATAATAATATCATGAACCTGGAAAAATTCTTAATAAATCATATGTTCATATTACATACCCATATAGATAATTTGTTTGGTTGGTAAGAATACGGCACCATAACCATCTCTAACACTAGGTGCACCAATTGAGCTGAATTTTTTCCAGCTTAAATTTATTGTATCCAAGACATGCATATCATTCACATAAGGAAAACTCCCACCAAATGTATAAAATCCCCCATTATAATCAATTGCAGGAAACATAAAATTCTTTCCTTGGGGAGGAGGATCACCAGTTATTTTCGGAGCACTCCATATGTTATGTTGTGCATCAAACGTATTAACTAATTCCCTTGTTTGATTGCCAAGGCTTTCACCACCATATAAGAATAACGTACTATTGTTTGCACCACCTTTAACAGCTATAGAATATCGACTCAATGGAACGCCATTGATGTTTGAGATGTCAATATAATTTACGTTATTAGTGCTAAAAGGAGTAGAGACGTCGAGATATAAAAACGATTCTTTTGGTAGTATCCCGTTATCAGCACGAGGAGGGACTGCTCCGCCTAATATATATATTTTATCATCAATTAATGTAGCAGTATGAGCGTAACGTAAATCCGGGTTACTTATTTGAGACTTTACTTCAACTAACAATTGAAGAAAAGCACCAAACGCAAAAATATATATCAGTGAATTATTTAAAAAAATCATTTCGTTTGAAAAAAAAAATGCGTATATACTATATGTATGTATATATATATATGTGTGTATATTTTTATTTTTATTTTTTTTTTTTTTTTTTTATTATTATTTTTTTTTTTTTTTTTTTAAATGAACACAAAATGTAATATGAAATACCATGATCAGCCAATCCTATGCAAACACCTTTTTCTTAACGTCTATATTCATACTTCTATACAAATATTAAAACCAAATAAACAAGCCCCTTAATGTAACACTTGTCATACTGTAATGTAAATCTCCGTTGTTTTCCGCATGGCATTATTTTAACAAAATAATTAAATAATTTACTTGCTAACGGATCAAAATTTTCCTAAATTAATGCAAATGCTGATTGCATATTTGCGATCCCTTCCCTTGAATAGTAAATCATTTCCATACATATCGATATCACACACAACCTATCACTATCTATCATTGTCCATTGGCGATCCCATATTTTTTATGATCATAATAGAATAATGCATGAATAATTTGCCCATATATCCCTCTTAGCCGGACACAATAATCTCTAATTATATTACTCTACAAGATCTCTAAATATGTTATTGTTTATGATTGCAAAGTAATGATGATATACGAGAGCACACTTAATTATAGAACAATATCTGGGTAAGCTGTAACTCAAGATGTTCTCAATGTTCTGTTGCGTTAGCGCACATGTTGATATCACAACTAGCGTTATGTTAGGTTCCAGAAAAAAATTATACGCATTAATAACAAGAATTCGGACAAGAAGTAATAAAGGTGTTCGGCAATCATCATAACTAGTCAATAACAACAAATTAAAAATCCAAGATAACTTCACTTAAGTTTAATTCAAATAATTCGAAATCGTTGTTTAATTTCTGTAAATCATAAATTATTAATTTAGAAATGCAAAATCTGTTTATGAAACTTGCGATTGAATAACTCAAATATCGTAAGAAATCCTATTTTTCGAATATCAATGAATAAAAAAACTTTCCAATTAAAAAATAAAAATATTAATTATAGTATTGATTCTTGAAATTAGTTTAAATATTAATGAAGTTCGGTTAGAAGAATAACCAAAGTGGTATAGATTATTTATTTTTAGAGTTATAAAATGGGATTATTATCAACATAATACGCATGTTCAGTTGTAGCCTATCCGTGACCGTCAAATGTATTTTTAAAGAAAACTTTCTTGTTACGACATAAATACATAATTATTTTACAGGATAATAATAAGGGACAACTTCGTTGCCTTTTAGAAAACTTTTTATTAGCAATATTTTACTTCCTTTTTTTTTATGAAAATTCTACGAATTTTTTTAATGTAAAAGAGTTATTATTGCATCTTTGGTATAATATCTTAATCAGTGAATAATAAACATCCTAATTAAGTATTAATTTATTTTAGTGATAATATGGAATGATAATAACGAAGTTCTTTTTTGTATAGATAGGAAAAAATCAAAAAGTAAGCAATTTAAAAGAATAGGTCCATTTAGGCAACACAGAAAATTTAGATGGTTCGCCGGCGGAGTTAATTAAATGCAAGGGATGCGAGAAAAATATAAGATGAAAAAGAAGGATAATGAGAAAGCCGGATGTTTAATATATATTAATAACGAATTTACTTTTTATATTCTAGCAATTTTTTATATGCAACCAGCAACTCTGGTATTACGCAATTACACATATATACTTACTTTAATGGGAATTTCCATTTGCACACGGAGTTTCAACTTTCAAACATAGTAAGGCGATCATTTAATATATTATGCACCTTTGACCCCCTTAAATAACCCTGCAGTACAGACAAAAAAATGCCATTTTTATTTATTAAAATTTTTTTGCGGAATTTTCGTTATAAGGTCATGTGATTCATGTTTGAAACGCTCGAAATTTTCTATATTGGTTAAAATTCTGGTTTATTAATCTAATTTTTACTAATAAATAATTTCTAATTTACCTTTGTTTGTTAAACCTAATATATGGAATGTTATTATAGTACAAGAACATTTTACTGGCTAAAATGAATCATAATTATTAGTAAATTTTTTTACTAGTAATTTCCAAATACCTTAAATTTAATATCAAATATAGCAAATTTATAATGAGCGGCTGAATATAACAAAAGGAATATTATTTTTTCCTTTGTTTACAAGATTATTTTTCTTACAGGAGAAACAATACCTAGCCTACAAATATCAACACGCAGATATTTATAAACTTTCTAGTACTGTATAATGAACCATGTTGATTTTTCATTTATTTAATATTTTATAATTTTAAATGAATCATAAAACACAACAAATTATACTTTATTTTAATAAATTAAAAATTAACTAAAAAAATTTGAATTGTGTAACTTGAAATATAATTAGAACCCGTGACAGGCGTGACAATCGGGACATCCGCATTCCAATCAACTAATCCAATTTCAGTTAATGAAATTTTACCCTAATCGGAATTTCTTTTTCCATTATTATTAAATAATCCTATTGTTTCATATTATTTTTTTTTCGATCTTTTTTTTTAGACCGATATTGCTATTTTTAAATTTTTTTTTTTTTTTTCACTCTTTTTGGACCGAATTATTGTCCTTTTTCAGAATTTTTTTCGGTACTTATTTTTTTTTCGGATTCCTTTTTTCCGGAAATTTCTCTTTTTTTAAACCGATTTCTTTCTTTATCCCTCTCAAATTTTTTTTTTAATTTTTTATTCTTTTCTTTTCAATTTTTTTTATTATTAAATAAAGAAACAAAATATTATATTAAATATATTTACAAAATTATTATTTTTTTTAAAAAAAAAATCAATATAACATGTAAGGAAAATTGACCCACGTTGGTAGAAAGATGATTAAAATTTTTTCATAAATATTTTGATTTCCAAATTCATAAAAATCAAAAAAAAATTGATATTTTTAATTGATTTTAATTCAAATGGTTTAGTTAAATTAATAATTTATATAAAAAAATCATATGATATACTGAAAAAATACTTGAAAAAAACGAATTTGCAAAAAAAAGTTATACATTCGTATGCAAAATAATGAGTTTACTATGCGCGCGTGTCAGATTTACACCTTAAAATATACGAAATTTCAATATTTCATTTTACTATATTGCATTATTTACATAAAAAACCTATAATTTTTAGCTTCTAAAATTGTTTTTAAAAGCTTTTTTGAAATATTTTTATTATTAAAAACAAGTGAAAGTTGAAGAAACCCAGTTACAGAAATATAATTATAAAATTTTTTGGCAAATATGACTTGTCATAAAATGAAAGAAAATATTGTATTTATGATATTTCTGTTTGTAAAATTGTTGAAACTTATTTCTCGCGCGAGATGCAAAAAATGCTTTTTTTTATTATCGCTATTATCCCCGAATTTTATTAGTAACGTGCTGTAACACCTGAGCCCATAGAGAATTATGTTTGCCACCTCAGGTATTAACAAAATGACTCTTTATTAATAATATAAATATATACAATAATATGCTTGGTTTAATAACATTAAATAACAAAATAAATAATTCATAACAAAATTCGTCTAATTTTTTCTCCCAAAAGGTGATCTTCACGCCCTTTTATGTTTGTTTTTGTGTA